AGGGACAACAACTTGCATGTGCTTTGCTGTCTGTGATGATGAGGATCACGCTGGAGACAGTGCTGGCAAGGCAAGCTTCAGGGGTGCTGTGTTCAGTCAGAGATACCAGACTAGGAGTCTTCAGAGCAGACATGCTGACTGCAAAAAGGCCCTGTTCTGCTAAACAGACTCTCTGGAGAAGAAAGGAACAACAGGAAAATTGCATCTTTGCTCCTGACACATGCTGTTTTCTGCTGTGTTGGTACTGAGTTAATATGTTGGAGTTTAGAAAGTACCTGTGCTGTAAAGCTGAAGAAGCACTTTTGAGCAGGGATTTTGGCTTAAACAGAAGTAGAGCATCTGCCAGGATGGTCATCTGTTGTTCTAATTTGGCTAAGCCTTTGGAAATATTTTCTTTACATACCTGTCAGTTCATTTTTGTAGCATCTGCGGACCAGGGTTTAGGACTTCTATAGATGGAGGACATGGCTGTTTGATTTAAAATTGGGTTACCCATGGAAGTCTGACAGAGCATGTGTGACTTGAGGTTTACTTGAATATACAATATTTAATACAGAGTCCATATGCAATTTTAGTAAGACTTTCATCTAAACTTGAGCATATTGTAACCCATCCCTAATAAGCAAATTCTTTGGTCAGAGAGCCACTCCTGGGGACGAAGCTTCAGGCAAATTTTCGGTGGTTAAAGCACAGAAATTGGCTAATGTGAAGAAGAGAACTGACCCAAAATTTCATTTGAAATTCTAATCAGGTCAAGATGTAGTCCTTCCAGCAGTGGAAAAGGTGGGTTTTTTCTGCTTTTCTGTGTCTGAGATTCTTACTCTAGCTTTGGTTTTTGACTCAGACAGGTAGAAGAGCCAGAGCATATGCTGAAGAGCAAATAAATTTTATGCTAAGGACATGTATGTTGGGCTAACTGCGGTGATAGTATAATGGTTTACTTAGTCATACCTTCCCATGATAATCTTATTAGCTGTTTGGTTTAGGTTGTTTAATCACTCCCTATTTTGTATTAAAAAATCCATCCCACCGATTCAATATGTCTGTCTTGTTGAAGAAATGTGTGTACTTCTGTAAGCGTATTTATTTCTCTACAGGTCTGATCAAGTAAATAAGCTTTAACTTTTAATTGTAGGGACTGGATTTAGGAATGTCAGCTTCAGAACTGTTTGCTGAATCTAATTGTATTTTATATTCCTGAATATTTATGTATTGTGTTGTTCATTGAAACACTACTTCTTACCCTTTGTTAGACCTATGAT